TAGTTCATCTTGCCATGAATGTCCCCTGCCTGTTTATCCCCAGTTACATAGAGTAAGTGGGATAGTGATGAACTAACTCTAGGTCCATTTGCCACCAAAGTTCACATTTTCAACCACTCCTGCCTTGCTTAAGGAAAAGCAAGAGTGTATACAAACAGACGGCAACCACTTATGATGGTCTGATAAGCTTTACATACTTCAAGTATCCACATACGACCACTTGGTTTTTCATTCTTTTTTTTCCCCTTCAGTTTTGGCTATATGGCGCATACACTAGCTAGACAAAAACAGAGACAGAGAGAAATCACCCCCCAAGGAAGATAAACACTCCACAATTTCTTCTCTTCTACTCTCAAGATTTTCAGCACACAAGGGCACACACCTGGAGTGATTCTCAAGCAAGCTGCTGGGTCAGGGACTCAACTGTGTAGCTGGCCACGTGGGACACTGCCACCTTCACCTCCATGCCACCTGCTGGCTCCCCACAGTTCTTCACTTCCACTACAGTATTCAAAAACGTATGTGAGTGGGGCCGGCAGGTGGCATGGTAGTTGAGGGCACTGGACTCCCACATGGCTGACCATGGTTTGGGTCACGGTCCTCGTGGCTTGATTTCTCTTCCTCTTTCTCTCTCTCTGGTCAAATTAAAATAAATAAATGTTAATAAGTCTTTTAAAAATGATGTGAGCCACTGGATCCTTTATTGTAACACAGGCTTTGTTAGAATAGTATGTCCAACTGCAGGCTAGAATAACCTGTGATGTTTAGCAGGAGAGTTGTATTGAATGTATTTTTGACCTTCAACATGCACAATTTATGGTGGGTTTCTTGGGAAGTCATCCCATCATAAACTGAATCTCGTTTGCTCAGGATGGAAGGAGGATGAGTAACAGAACACTCTCACATCAGCATTTTGCTATTTCCTATTGATGGATATCACCTTTAATGTGAAGGCTTTGAAAAAAAAACTTGGATAGCTCCTGGCTATCAGTACAAACCAGTGCTGCAGATACGCCTGCCTCTCTGCCCCGCCCCAAGCACTAAAAATAGTGATTTCATTTTCTAACCTCTACAGCTACCTAAAAAAAAACTGATTAAAAACCTGGCTCTTTTTTAAAATACTCAAAAAAAAAAAACAGGAATGAAATCATGGCTATCTGGTCACCAGTTTAAGACACAGTGGTTAAGACTTCAAAATGATGACCTTTAAGTTAATTTGTACGTTTTTCTTCCATAAGGTCATAAAATTATGTGAAGAAAACAAGGAAATGATTTTGATCCCAAAATCATTTGAGTTATAAATACAAAAACATACTTTAAAATAAGAAAAACACATATTTCAAATAAATTTCAAAAAATTTTTAAAGTAGATATTTTAATAAACCCAAACATAAAGACTGGTCCTTCCTGGGGTGACACTGGTAAATTATCACCACAATAAAGGCAGTTAACACTTAATTGGCCTTATTAGGTGGCAGGCACTAAGTTCTTTAAACATACTTAATTCCAAAAATTAAAAAGCTGTTTTAAGTATCTTATAGTCAATCTAAAATAACTAGCACTATGAAAGAATTGGTGCTAAATGTTCATGTTCCTTTTTATTAAGTATACTAGTCCAGGGGCAGGCAGGTGGCATGGTGGTTAAGGACACTGGATTCCCACATGGCCAACCATGGTTTAAGCTACCGGGATCTGGTGGCTTGCTTTCTCACTATGTCTTTCTCTCTCTCTCTCTTCCTCTCGACTCATAAATAAATAAAACTTTTTAAAGAACTG